ACAATTGAAAAGGAGGGACTCCTCCCTAACTCATTTTATGAGGACAGCGTCATCCTGATACCAAAACCTGGCAGAGACACAAAACAAAAAGACTTATCCAGCATGATCAAGTCGGCTTCATCCCTGGGATGCAAGGCTGGTTCAGCATACACAAATCAATAAACAGTCCATCACATAAACAGAACCAATGACCTAAATGGCATGATCATCTCAATAGACGCAGAAAAGGCCTTTGAGAAATTTCAACATCCTTCATGTTAAAAACTCTCAACAAACTAGGTATTGATGGAACATATCTCAAAATAATAAGAGCTATTTATGACAAACCCACAGCCAATATCATAGTGAAAGGCAAAAGCTGGAAGCATTCTCTTTGAAAACTGGCACAAGACAAGGATACCCTCTCTCACCATTGCTATTCAACGTAGTATTGGAACTTCTGGCCTGGGCAATCAGGCAAGGGGAAGAAATAAAGGTATTAAAGTAGAAAAAGAGGAAGTCAAATTGACTGTTTTCAGACAACATGATTGTATAGTTAGAAAATCCCATCATCACAGCCCCAAAACTCCTTAAGCTGATAAGCAACTTCAGCAAAGTCTCAGCGTACAAAATCAATGTGAAAAATACACAAGCATTCCTATATTCCAATTATGGAGAAGAGGAGAGCCAAATCATGAGTGAACTCCCATTCACAATTGCTACAAAAAGAATAAAATACCTAGGAATACAGCTAACAAGGGATGTGAAGGACCTCTTCAAGGAGAACTACAAACAACTGCTCAAGGAAATAAGAGAGGATACAAACGAATAAAACAAATTAAAATATAATCCATCCTTATAAATAGGAAGAATCAATATTGTGAAAATGGCCAGACTGCCCAAAGTAATTTGTAGACTCAATGCTATTCCCATCAAACTACCATTGACATTCTTCACAGAAAAAACTACTTTGAATTTCATATGAAACCAAAAGAGAGCCCGTATAGTCGAGAGGCTCCTAAGCAAAAAGAATAAAGCTGGAGGCATTGCTACCTGACTTCAAAGTATGCTATAAGGCTACAGTAACCAAAACAGCATGGTACTGGTGCCAAAACAGATATATAGACCAATGGAACAGAACAGATACCTCAGAAATAACACCACACATCTACAATCATCTGATCTTCAACAAACCTGACAAAAACAAGCAATGAGGAAAGGATTCCCTATTTAATAAATGGTGCTGGGAAAACTGGCTAACCATATGCAGAAAACTGAAACTGGATCCCTTCCTTACACGTTCACGTTCTATAAAAATTAACTCAAGATAGATTAAAGACTTAAAGGTAAAACCCCAAATCATAAAAACCCTAGAAGAAAACCTATGCAATACCATTCAGGACATAAGCATGGGCAAAGACTTCATGATGAAAATGTCAAAAGCAATAGCAACAGAAGTCAAAATTGACAAATGGGATCTAATTAAACTAAGAACTTCTGCACAGCAAAAGAAACTATCATCAGAGTGAACAGGCAACCTACAGAATGGGAGAAAATTTTGCAATCTACCCATCTGAAAAAGGTCCAATATCTAGAATCTACAAGGAACTTAAATTTGCAAGAAAAAAACAACCCCGTCAAAAACTGGGCAAGTATATAACAGCATTTCTCAAAAGAAAACATTTATGTGGCCAAGACACATGAAAAAATGCTCATCATCACTGGTCATTAGAGAAATGCAAATCAAAACCACATTGAGATACCATCTCACACCAGTCAGAATGGCAATTATTAAAAAGTCAAGAAACAATAGATACTGGCGAGGCTCTTGAGAAATAGAAAACCTTTTACACTGTTAATGGGAATGTAAATTAGTTCAACTATTGTGGAACACAGTGTGGCAATTCCTCAAGGATCTAGTACCAGAAATACCATTTGATCCAGCAATCTCATTATTGGGTATATAACCAAAGGAATATAAATTATTCTACTATACAGACACATGCACATGTATTTATATTGAAGCACTATTTATAATAGCAAAGACATGGAACCAACCCAAATGCCCATCAATGATAGACCAGATAAAGAAAATGTGGCACATATACACCATGGAATACTATGCAATCATAAAAAGGAATGAGATCATGTCCTTTGCAGGGACATGGATGAAGCTGGAAGCCATCATCCTCAGCAAACTAACACAGGAACACAAAACTAAATACTGCATGTTCTCATTCATAACTGGGAGTTGAAAAATGAAAATGCATGGACACAGGAATGGGAACAGGACAAACTAGGGCCAGTCAGGGGTTGGAGGATGAGGGGTGGGATAACATTAGGACAAATAGCTAATGCATCGGGGCTTAAAACCTAGATGATGGGTTGATAGGTGCAGCAAACCCCTATGGCACATATATACCTATGTAACGAACCTACACATTTGACACTTATATTCCAGAACTCAAAGTAAAAAAAAGAAATTAGATGTGCTATTCTAGTGAGGACATAAGTGATAAGAAAGCAGAACAGCTCTCTTGCTGATATGGAGCAGGTTTGAATGGTTGGAGTAGAAGATCAAACCAGCCACAATATTCCCTTAAGGGAAGCTGAATCCAGACAGGGCCCTACTCTTTTCAATTCTGTGAAGGCTGAGGGAGGTGAGGAAGCTTCAAAAGAATAGTTGGAAGATAGTAGAGGTTGGTTTGTGAGGTTAAGAAGAGAAGCTGTCTTCATAACATAAGCAGGGGCTGATGCAGAAGCTGTAGCAAGTTATCTAGAAGAGCTAGCTAATTTAGGAAAGTGGCTTCATGGAACAACAGATTTTTTATAAAGATGAAGTAGCTTTCTATTGGATGAAGATGCTGTCTAGGACTTCGATACCTAGAAAGAAGTCAATACCTGGCCTGGCCTCAATGAAGGACAGGCTGAATTTCTTGTTGGGGATAATGCATCTAGTGACTTAAATTGGAAGGCAATGCTTATTACCATGCCAAAAATCCTAGGACCCTTAAGAAATATGCTAAATCTATTCTACCTATGCTCTGTAAATGGAATAAAAAAGTCTGATGGTAGCACACCTGTTTACAGCACGGTCAACTGACTTTTTTAAACCCAGCTTTGAAACCTACTGCTCAGGAAATTTATTTTTTCAAAATATTACTGCTCATGGACAATGCCTGTAGCCACCCGAGCTCTGATGGGATGTATAAGAAGATGAATGTTGTTTTTGTGCCTGCCAATGCAATATTTATTCTGCAGCCATGGATTAAGGAATAATTTCAATTTTTAAGTGCTGTGATTTTTAGAAATCCATTTTATGCAGCTGCCATAGATAGTGATTTCTCTGATGGATCTGGACAAAGTAAACTGAAAATCTTCCGGAAAGGATTTACCATCTAGATGGCACTCACAACATACCAACATTCATAGGGATTTGGAAGACATTGATTCCAACTCTCATGGATGACTTGGAGGGGTTCAAGACTTCAATAGGGAAAGTAACTGCAAATGTGGTAGAAATAGCAAGAGAACGAGGCTTAGAAGTACAGCCTGAAGATGAGACTAAATTGCTACAATCTTATAATAATATTTGAATGAATGAGAAATTCCTTCTTATAAATGAGCAAAGAAAGTTGTTTCTTCCAATGGAATCGACTTCTGGCAAAGATGCTGTGAACACTGCTGAAATGACAATAAATATCCATGAAGTTGATAAACTTTATCAACGAGCATAAACTCAGTTGATAAAGAAGTGGCAGGATTTGAGAGGATCGACTCCAGTTTTAAGAGAAGTTTTACAATAGATAAAATGTTAGCAATAACATTATATACAACAGGGAAATCTTTTGTGAAAGAAAAAATCAATTGACGTGCCAGAATTCATTGTCTTATTTTATGAAATTGCCACGGTCACCTCAATCATCAGCAGCCATCATTCTGACTGGTCAGCAGCCATCAACTTGGAGGCAAGACCCTCTAGAAGCAGAAAGAGGGTGACTTGCTGAAGGCTCAGTTGATTGTTAGCATTTTTTTTTTTAGCAATAAAGTATTTTAAAATTAAGGTACATACCTTTTCTAGACGTGATGTTATTGCACTTTTAATAGGCTACCGTATAATGTAAACATAACTTTTATATATACTGGGAAGCCAAAAAATATGTGACTTGCTTTATTGGGTTATTTGCTTTATTGAGCTTCTATTTGGTCTGGAACAAGACCTGTAATATATCTGAGGTATGCCTGTAATTGAAACCACGAGAGTGACTGAGATTATTCTGGGAGAGTCTGCAGAGCAAGAAGAGCAGTGAGCCTTTTATAAATGCAGTGATGGGCATTTAAAGTAATCATCTTTCTGTTTTACCAATGAGAAAATTGAGGCCTGGCACCAGAGAGAGATTGGGATTTTCCTACATAGCTGAGAAGGGGACACTAGAACTTGAAACTAGGCTTCCTGATTCCAAGTCACTGTTCCTTCTATTATATTGATCTCAAAATAACACTTCTAATTTAGGGGAAACTTGCAGGCAGTTTGCTTTAGAATGCCTCTGGAGATAATCCAATTCTTGATATATGTCTTTTTTGTCTGAATTCTGTAGAAACAAATTTCTCAATTATTTTATCCACATTTATATTGTTCTAGGATGAGAGTTACTATAAAAATATTAGGTAAAAATTCTTTGATTCTAAGTCCATGGTAGGTTTATGTAAAACTCCACAAATCTATAACTCTTATACCTTTATGAAATGATTAGCAGATCAAGTCTGTTATTTGCACCCATTAAGAAAGAGCACAGGAGCTTTTGGGCATATAAGCAGAGACTGAATGTCAGGGCGTTGCTGTAGTCACAGAAAAGAACTTGGTATCGTTAGTACCTGTTTTAATCACTTGTCTAACCGTAGAGAACAGTAGCACAGATTCTACCATGTTAGGGCAGTAGTGGTGATCTATGAAATAAGTTTTATTTACTCCTGAATAACTGTTGTTAACTCAGTCATTTTTATATTTTTGTTTTCCATAGAAACTGACTTATGCAAAGGAAACTGTAAGCAGGTGAGTGTCTCTTTTTCCCGGAATTCATGTTTGGCAACACAGATGTGTCATAACCTAATTCAAGACTCACTCCAAATTTAATGGTGCCTTTCTCTTCTCTTGCCAGTTCGCAATGACCAGGCCTGTAGATCAGTCCCAAATGTTTTTCCTCGTTCCCAGGCTACCTTTATTCCAGACCACTACCACGGCCACTGTGCATGTTTGTTGTCTGACCTTATTATGAGCCAAACTTGCTCCTCTCTTAGATAAGAAAACAGATTTATGGTTTATATGGAATGACCTACTGTTGTCGAGGTTTAAAGGCTAATGATGAAATTGTTCTGAAATGGTACACCACAGTGGAGGATAGGTTATTAAATGATGGGTGGTGCTATGGATCAACTTATTGACTATTGATGATTATGGTCTTGAAACATAAGAATAGCATAACCTTGATGAATCTATCAGTATTATGATTCTTGACTGTTCACCGTTGGGCTTAGGGCTAAGGTTGTTTCCGTCTTCTGGGAAGCAGTAGCACAAAAAAGATCACAAAAGTTAAGGGATTTTGAGCCTATAGGGGCTAAAGCTTTCCAATTCTATTTATCCTCAGGGTATCTAAACTATAATAGCATGCAGGTAGTTATACAGGAAAGTACTACTAGAGCGTACAATCCAGGTCAGAGTCCAAAATTTTGCCTCACATTAGAAAGAAGGACGGATTGAAAAACCAAGTAGGTGAGTCAGTGTCCAGAGATTCAGCCTGGGCAGCAGAGTCAGGGAATATTTGGAATATATGTGTGGGTGGTAGTGGGGTGTATCCTGGTTTCAAATTGAACACAAGTGAGTAGGAGAGAAGTGGGGCTCTGTTGGTCTTATTCATACAGCCAATGCCACTGAGTCTATACCAGGGCGTGGGATGGAGCATTTACTTAAATATGGGGCCATGTGGTCTTTTATTCCGTTTTATATTTTATATTTATTTAGAGACAGGGTCTTGCTCTGTCACCCGGGCTGGAATGTGGTAGCATGATCATAGCTCACTGCAGCCTTGACCTCCCAGGCTTACGTGATCTTCCACTTCAACCTCCCAAGTAGTTGGGACTACAGGCACACACCATCACGCCCAGCTAATCTTTTTGTATTTTTTGTAGAGACAAGGTTTTGCCATGTTGCCCAAGCTAGTGTTGATCTCCTGGGCTCAAGCAATCAGCCGGCCTCAGCCTCCCAATGTGTTGGGATTGATTATAGGCGTGAGCGACTGCGCCTGGCTGGGTGGGGCTTCTTCACCACAGAGGCAGAGCTCAGAGATTCCTTGGGATTCCCATTGCAACAGACAGTGAACTAAACATCTGTAAATCTGTAGTTCCGATGATAGAACTAGAAGGAATCTTAAAGGTCGCCTCATCCAACTTTCACAGTCTATTGGCTCAATAACTTTTCTAAGCTCTCTTTCAGTTCATTGTGCCCAAAGCTATATCAATCATTTCCTCACAAATCTGCTTCTTTCTTTGTTCCTCTCATCAGTGAATGAATGGTATTATCATTCATCTAGTTGCTCATATTATTTTCTCTTGCTCTCTCCCTTCCTTCTCTTCTCCTAATTATCTCTTGATTCCGTCCATTTCTTTCTGCCCTCACAGTCCCTACCCTAATTCACATGATCAACACTTGTTTCCTGGTACAAAGCCTTGCCAAGAGGCCTCTCTACTTCCTTCTGAGCCCTCCTCTCCACCCTGGCCACAAATCTTCAAAAGAATAAATTTGATCATGTTCCTCTCCTCTAAAAGACAATTTAATAGTTCCTCATTGCTTTTAAGATCAAAATTAACATGGCCCGCAAGGCTCTTCACTGTTGGGCCTGTGCCCAGCCTCATCTGTCTCAGTTTCCTTCTTAAACTGTATGGTTCAGCCATACTCTTTTTTTAGAGTACTCTTGGGCCATTATGTTTCCATATATGTTGCCGGGCTAACTCACATTGCTTTTTAAATTTCATCCTTTCCATCATTTCCTCTAGGAAATCTTCCACGATGCATGATCCCCTCCACCAGAAAATCTGGATTTACTCTTGCTCACCTTTATATTTATAGGGCCTCAAACACTGCTTGGCTCATAATAAGTGCCAAGTTATATAGATAAATACAGACAGTCCCCAACCTCTGATGGCTCAGTGATTTTTCGACTTTACAATGGTGCAAAAGTGGTACGTATTCAATAGAAATTGTACTTTGAGTACCCATACAACCATTCTGTTTTTCATTTTCAGTACAGTATTTAAGAAATGACGTGAGATATTTAGTACTTTATTGTAAAATAGGCTTTGCATTAGATGACTTTGCCCAACTATAGGCTAATATCAGTATTCTGAGCATGGTTAAGGTAAGCTAGGCTAAGTTTTGATGATGGGTAGGTTAGATGTTTCAGTGCATTTTTAACTTAACAGTATTTTCAAGTTACGATGGCTTTATTGGGAAGTGACCCCATCGTTAAGTTAAGTAGCATCTGGAATTATGAGATGAACGAGTGAATAGCTATCACACAGCTAGTGAATGGTGGCACTAAGATTTGATTTCAGATTCTCTGACACCATTTTAGGGCTTTATACTGTCTCTCATGTATGTTTAAAATCTGTTCACAGCCTTAGACTATAACTTCAGAAATAAAAAAACACTGTAAATGCATCCATCTTATAGGGCAGATTGCTTTTACTGGAATAATAAGCTGTGAAATAGTTGTGAGCCTAGTCTTACAGGTCTGGAAGAAGGATCACACTTTGCTATGGTTGAATAACATTTATTATTAAATATATTTTGGGAGAGGGCTCTGTCAGCTCTTATATAACCCAAGGTCATCTAGATTATCAGATTATCATTTATCCCATACTTCTGGCCTGAGTCAAGGGCCAGAGTGTAACTTTATTGAGGCCACAAAATCTTTTTGTTTGAAAAAATAGATTGTGAAACTTTGAACAACTTTGAACAAGCGGTGAAGAGTTAATTGCATGAATACTCATGTATGTGTAGGAAGCAAATTCTTATGAAACAAAATGTAGACCATGCTAAGGGGTAAGTGCACTGCTGTGAAAGAGTAATGAGTTTGAAACTTGGAGAGCGGTGAAGCAACATTCTCAAACATGTAATAGCATTTTTACATTTATTGATTGCACACAGTACACTACTTTACATATATTATTTAATTCTCTGAGTTTAACCCTCTGAATTATGTACTTTTACTATCTTTTTTCGATAGATGAAGAAACAGTATTAGAGTTGAAATAACTCAAGGTAATCCAGCTCATCTGATTCTTAAGCATCTGGTTTTTAACCTCTATTAATACTGACTTTTACTATATAAAATATGTTACCTCACTTAATTTTTACAACCACCACCAAAAACCTAAGTTAGTAACACCCTTACAGGAATCCAAAATATGAATAAAATCAGTACTTGCACAAAATATCTAAAGCCTGATTCTTCCTGAAAAACCTACCATGTAGCCTTTAGCAGGTTTCTGCAAGATACTGGCAAATGAATTAAAAAAAGTATTGTACTCATGTTTGTAACCTTAGTAGATAACATTCTTGAAGAAATGAATTGTGTTTTAGGATTCCGTGTAAGCTCTACATTAACTAGCACCAAACTTGTATGTAGTATAATCTTAATAGGTACAGTTTGTATTGCTTTGGTTGATTTTGTTTAACCAATCAGACCAATATCAAGATATACTTGTGTTGGAAGTATGTATGTATACATAAGTGTGTGTATATGCATATGTGCACACACATACACACACACATAGAGAGAGGAAGGAGAAATCAATTCAAAAGGATGACTTTTAAAAAATTTAGTTTTTATTTTAGATATAGGGGTACATGTATAGGATTGTTACATGGGTGTATTGGTCCCAGGTAGTGAGCATAGTACCCAGTATGTAGTTTTTCAACCCACACCCCCCTGCCCTCTAGTAATCCACAGTGTCTATTCTTCCCGTGTTTATATCCATATATGCTCAGTGTTTACCTCTCACTTATTAGTGAAAACATGCAGTATTTGGCTTTCTGTTCCTGAATTAATTCACTTGGGATTATGGCCTCCAATTCCATCCATGTTGCTGCAGAGAATATGAGTTCATTCTTTTTTCTGGCTGCATAGTATTCCACGGTGCATATGTACCATATTTTCTTTATCCAATCCACCATGATAGGCACCTCTATGATTCCATGTTTTTGCTATTATGAATAGCTAGTGAGAACATGTGAGTACATGTGTCTTTTTGATTTAATGATATGGGATTGCTGGTTCAAATGGTAGCTCTGTTTTAAGTTCTTTGAGAAATTTCCAACTGCTTTTCACAGTGGCTGAACTAATTTACTTTCCCACCAATAGTATATAAGTATTTCCTTTTCTCTGCAACTTCAACAACATCTGGTACTTTCTGACTTTTTAATAGCCATTCTGACTGGTGTGGGATGGTGTTTCATTGTAGTTTTGATTTACATTTCTCTGAGGATTACCGATGCTCAGCATTTTTTCATATATTGACCTCATATGTTTTCTTTTGAGAAGTGTCTGTTCATGTCCTTTGACTACATTTTTAATGGGTTGTTTGTTTTTTGCTTGTTGATTTGTCTAAATTCTGGATATTAGGCCTTTGTCAGATGCAGAGTTTGTCAATATTTTCTTCCATTCTGTAGGTTATCTGTTTGGTTTGTTGATTGTTTCTTTTGCTATACAGAAGCTCTTTAGTTTAATGAGGTCCCATTTGTCAATTTTTTGTATTGTTGCAATTGCTTTTGCGGGCTTGATTATCAATTCTTTGCAAAGGCCAATGTTGAAAAGGGTATTTTCTAAGTTTCCTTCTAGACTTTTTATAGTTTGAGGTCTTACATTTAAATCTTTAATCCATTTTTAGTTAATTTTGGAATATGATAAGAGATAGGGTTCCAGTTTTTTTTTCTTCTGCATATGGCTGGACAGTTATCCCAGCAGCATTTATTGCATGGGGAGTCCTGTCCCCATT